TATGCAAATAAAATATATAGGATAGGCCTATCTGCCTAATATTCCTGCCGATGCATTCTTTGGGTGTGATTAAAATGAGCAATAAATTCCTCGTGAGTCTCAGTGGAGTGAGGATCGGGAGTGGAGATGCAAGCTGGCACGAGCGCGTCCCCCTCAGCTGAATATTCATCATGGGATAGCTCCCCATATTTTTGTTTTATCTGCTATCATGTGCACAGAGATATATTTCCACCTCTCCTTCTCCTCTTAGTTAAGACATGAAAATGGTCTCGGCTTTAAGTATTAAACTCTCCATCCATTGAAATCCTTCAAAGTGAGACCACAGGCTACTTCATCTATGAAGCCTGCCTGCTCATTCTGCCAGGAGATAATCCATGCTTTCTCAGAGCCCTCACCAACTCTGTGCAAACCTTCCTAAGATAGCTGGGCTGCAGGTATCAGAGCTCAGAGCACCTGCCTCTTCCCTAGCTGGACGGCAACCTGAGGGAGGGGGCTGGGCCTCATCCACCTCTGGATCTTCTCAGGGGTGCCTAAGGAAGCTTCAGCACAGGGAACGCCGAGAGAACTGAGGAAGCCAGCAGTGAGGAGAAAATCAATCAGGCTACTTAAGGTGATGTAAATGATATAATTTAAAGGGCAGAATGAAATAAAAAATTAGGCTTAAGAATAATTTTAAAATGGGAAAATCACCAATAATATTAAGTAAAAAAAAATCAGATTCCAAATATAGAACAAAATCATAACTCCTTCAGAGCCAATAGGATCATTAATACCTTCGGAGCCAAGTAGGAAAAACAAATGCCTGACAACCAAGGACATAATACAATAGGGGATGGGGCACCCTGTGGCTGGCAAGTGCACATTCCCAATCCCCAAGGCATTAAGTTTACTTTTTTGAAAAACTCTGGGTTGGCTACATAAAACATGGCTGCCAGCTAAAGACCCCCTGCTATATACAGTAGACTATCAACCAGGTCAATAAAAAAGGCCATCCATATACATATACATAGATGCTGTCCAGAAAAGGCTACCACAGTATTATAAGAGGAAAACTCTGATTCAAATCCTAATAGTCACTTGCAACAATTTGATTTTCTGTAAGTCACCTGCTTGCATTCTTGCAGCTTCAGTTTTCTTATCTGTGAAATCGGGGTAATAAGAAATGCTTCATTCATTTGTTATAGGATTAGAAAAAATATGTATTAGAGCACCTGGCACAGTACCTAGATACATTTGATAAATGACACCTACTATTATTATAAATAAAAGTATTAATAGTGGTTATGTCTAGGTAGTGGGCTAGAATGCTTTTACCAGAAATTTATCTCAGTTGTCAACTCTTCCAGGAAGTCTTCCTTGGCCAGTCACACCACTGATGACTGAGTGCTGTCACAGTTTACTTGCCCATCTGCTTGTCAGACAGTGAGCTCCTAGAGTGTTTTATTCATCTTCTTCCCTTTGAGCCCAGAGCCTGGCATATAGATATCATTCATAAATACGTACTACGTTATTTAATTCTCTTCATTTTACTTTTCTTTTTTTTTTTTGAGACAGAGTCTCACTGTGTTGCCTGGGCTAGAGTGCCGTGGCGTCACCCTAGCTCACAGCAACCTCAAACTCCTGGGCTCAAGCGATTCTCCTGCCTCAGCCTCCCGAGTAGCTGGGACTACAGGCATGCGCCACCATGCCCGGCTAATTTTTTTCTATATATTTTTAGTTGTCCAGTTAATTTCTTTCTAATTTTAGTAGAGACGGGGTCTCACTCTTGCTCAGGCTGGTTTCGAACTCCTGAGCTCAAACAATCCACCCGCCTCCGCCTCCCAGAGTGCTAGGATTACAGGCGTGAGCCACCGCACTTGGCCCATTTTACTTTTCTTTATATCCAAAATCTTCTATAATGAGACACATGACTTTAATACTCACAAATTTTCTATAATGAGCATAATTTGACTATGGAGTGGTAGATGAAGGTGGAGGAGGCTGAGCTGGATGGACAGGAGAGCCAGATAAGATCAGAGGGGCAGTGGCCCATGTCTAGACAAAGAGCCAGAAGATGAGGCCTCAGGCTGGAGCCTCAGCACCCTCAAGGCCTGAGTCATTATGTTACAGATGCAGGGCCTGAATGCAGAGAGAGGCAGCTGCTTCTCACTTACTGGCAGAGGGAGAAAGAACTCAGGTCTGAAACAGTGTTCTTCCCACAAAAGCCTGCCTCACAATTTTGAAGAGGTTGTTTTTTGCAGCTTGGAGGAAAAGGTCAGAGCAGAAATAATGGGTGACCAAGTAGATGCTGAACAACTGAGAGACAGCTAGTGCTGCTGACATCTAGGGAGAGCTGAAGGGTGGTTTATGTGAGTGCAATCTGATGGGACAGCAGAGCAATTAGGTGGAGATGCTCAGTGGACACTTGGATATTCAGGATGGAGGAAGTCCAGACGGGATGGAGGGATCAAGCACAGAGATGAAAACAGACGAAACGGTGTTCCAGTTGAGAGGCCATGGACTCTCTAGGCTGGCTCTAAGTAGTCATCTATGCTCTAAAGGCAGCCCTTGCACTGTGGGATAGCTCTGTTAGGGAGCTCCTTCCTGAGGCTGCCACCCAGTAAGCCTGGCTCTGTTCTAGCTTTGCCAATGAGTGAATTTCATCTCCTCTCACCCAGAGCTGTCCCTGTGCCTAAATGCACAGTCTCTCTTCTCCAGGACACATGTGCCCATTGCTTTCAGCTTTTTCTCATGGCACAGTTCCTCTTGCCACTCTACTGCCCTCCTCTCCACAGGCTCTAAGAGCTCAATGTCTACTCAGAATGTCGTGTCTGTAATTGCCCTCCATGCTCCAGAAGGGGCTGACTGGCACGGGGATTGCAACTACCTTTTGTTCACCCTGGACCTTGGCCTTGTAATAATGTGGCCAACATCAGGCCACTTCTCTTGGGCAGCCAAATTTTGTTGAGGGTCCCCCAGTAGGCCTAACCTCTCCCCCTGTGCTGGCGCTAAGAGGCCCGTTGCCTTGCTTCACATGGCCAGACCAGTGCCTGCCTTGTCACACCACCTGACAAACCATGGGTACTCTTGGCTAGGTCCAACATGTGTCACTCGGGGGACAGCAATTGGGCTTGAAAGGGGAGAAGATGACAGGGGTACTGTCCCCGAGGTTATCTGAAACAGTGCTGAGGGGTTTCTTTAAGGCACTCAGAGAAGCTGACCAGACTCCCAGGGCTGCTCCTAGGAGTGGAAAATTTAAACAAAGGAAGGGAAGCACTTGCCCTCTGGAATTTAGTAGCTCTTTCTGGTCCTAAGGGCCTCTTGGGATGGGCTGTGGAAAGCTAGTCACCCTTACTAACTCCTTCCCTTCTCTGGAGGAAACTGTTGTAAGACCATTACTAAGGATACCAGGGAGGTAAACTCAGTATAGTTAATGCTGATGACCAAGCATTTCCAGTTCTCCCATTCTAGGATTAATATCTTTGTGATTCAGTGAGAACATGGGATTAGTTCTGGCCAATGAGTTGTGAGTGGAAGTGAAGGGTCCTCCTCCTAGGCTGAGCATTCAACTGCAGATAGAAGACCCTTCAGAGTATGCTTTTCCCTCTGGTGAGCAACCAGCAACATTCCAGCAGGTGGCTGCTCTGCCCGTCGGGATCCCTGGGTGCCTACGATGAGCAAAGCCTGCCCCCCACCCCCAACCTCACTATTGCAGCATGAGGCAAAAATAAATTTGTTGTTTTAAACCATTGAAATTTTGGGTTGTTACAATAGCACAATCCTGACTGATACACAGACAATCATGCATTGAACAGAAACTTAGAAACCATTTAGTCCGAAGTTTTCATGCCACAGAGGAAAACTGAGCTTCAGTGTGGGGAAGGTCACGTGGGCAGTGAGTGGTGAAGCTGGGATCAGAACCCATGTCTCCTCTGTCTCAGTCCAGTGAGCTAAGTGCTCTGACTCAAGGCAGAGAGAATATTTGCCACTAGGTGGGACCTGCCACATTGAATCATCTCAAGGCACCTCAGCCTATTTGAGGACAAGAGACTCCATGATGCTGGAAAGAGCTCAAGAGTGACAGTCGGAAACCAGGTCTTCTAGTCCTGCCACTGAACCTACTACATGACCTTGTGGTCAAGCCTATTAGCTTCAGTTTTGATGCTAACTCACTCTGGGACTAAAGGCAAGCCACATCATAGCTCTGGGCTCCAGTTTCCCCAGGGGGAAAATGAGTCATTGGTTTACGTTTCAGAGATTTAAAACTTGTGCCCACAGGAGAGCCCTCTCAGAGGTTCCCCCAGGAGGGAAGGGTGGGCCACATGGGCAGCGCTCTGGTCCATCTCCCCTTCAACTAGAATAGCTCAGTTTTCCTCTGATTTATTTGTTTATAATTTCATAAGATTCCCATCACTGAACTTGATTTCTAAGGTCCCTGCCAGTTCTGAAATTTATAATTCTAGTTCTTAGATTCTGCCCAGTAGTTTGTGAGTTACAGATCTGTGGCTGGGAGAGGCAGAAGACTTAGCCTTGTTTTCAGGGAGTTCAAAAGTCTGGTTGAGAAGATCGAATTAAGATGGAGAATTTTTTGGTTCAGACTCTATACCAGGCTCTTTGGAGTGTATGTGGAGGGGAGGGGTGAGGAATGGTTCTAGAAGGAGTGGTGATGGGAAAAGATTGATGAGGCTGTAGAATACATGAGGATTAGGAGAAACACTAACTTGGGCTAAAGATTTTGTCTGGCTAGCCCCTCCTCTAAAAACGAGCTAGGAGGCCCATCATTTCAAAAATTTAATTTAAAGGTTAATCTTCAGAAGCCACAAGTGGCCCAGGCCTCTCGCTGGTCATGACAGGGGCAGCTTCCCATTCTTGATGAGACTAGAGGCTGGATTTGTATTTAAACAGACAGTAATCACCTAAGGAGAAGTGGCCTTCGGTGTGGAACCTGACATAATTTAATGAGTGAAAGATTAAATGATGCATGGAGTATCCACCAGCCTCCTCCTTTCTCTGACACTTACCTTAGCCTCTGAAGTCCTCAGAAGCTTCATCACCTCCCCTTCTCGGGCATAATCCAAGGGTGTGTGTCCCATTTCATTCTTCTGTAGGGGGTTGGCTCCTGGCAAGAACAGATGGATAAATGGTCAGAGGCTCTATGAGCGATCAGTGGAACCTCAGCCTTCCGTTGGAGGTGGCTTGGGGCTCCAATGTCTATACGAGGAATGCCCATGCACATGTAAGAAAACATAGAATGATGGGAAAAACACATCAAGCTATTCTGGGAGGAGTACTCTTAGTCCTGTCTGACAAAGATGTCAGAGTATCGGGTTTCCCCATGTGTATACACACATGTTCAGTAACACACTACATACATATAGATGCATTATACATACACAAATACACATAGCTGAACATGCTAACAAAATATACCAAATATAGAGATTCATACACTCCAACATAAATACACGTAAACACACAATTTCATGTATATATTCATCAGAATGTCCACATTTTCCAACATATTTGCATACAAACATTCATATTCATGAAGCCATATAATAAAAGGGTTCCTTTCTAAACAGAGAATGTCCCAAATAACAATTAAAAGGTTCCCCCTTCTTTCTGCTCTCTTCTCCTCTCTCTCCTTTAATGCTCTCTTAGCTCTGGGCATTTCCTGTCTGCCAGAGTCAGCTGAGTGCTCTGGAAAGATGTGGGCATCACCAGCAACCTGGCTTTGCCACTCCAGCTGTTGGTGAGTGTGGGTATGTGCATAGGCATTTCCTCTAATCATTAGTTCCTGTGATTTGAGGACAAGGAACTTTGAGTAGAACACAAAGAAGAGGTTAGCTGGGGGCGATGTCTGTACCTTCTCTCTAAGTGCTGGCAACTGATAAGCCTGTAGAAAATATCTACTCTGTGCAAGGCTTGGCAGCCATGGGGGAAAGGCTACTCTGACCCTCTGCGCTGTCAGAATGTCCCTCCCAAAGCCCCGGTCTGAGCACCTCACTCTCTTCTTCAAAGGCCATACATTCCGTTCAGTTTGACAAATCTTAAATAAATGGAGCCTGAGAACATAGAAGAATCAGATCTGGCCCTGGCCAAAAGGCACTCTTCTCAAGGCAGCAAGACAGATATATAAGAAGAAAGCCATGCTTTGTACACAGCAGATGCTCAATAAATATATGTTCAATGAAACATCGAAGTATAAGGTAATAATTATCTAGTATTTCTTGAGCTACTTTCTTGCAAAGAAGTATTGTCTGAAGTAAAGAAGGGTTAAGACTGAGTCCCCAACATAGAATATAATGGGCTGGCTGGGGACCCATTCAGCACAGTGCCTGGCTGACAGTGGGTGTCTAACCACTGTTCACTGACAGTAAAAATCAGTTTCTCAATCAAGTCTGTAGAAACATTTATATTATGATACAAAACTATTCCTACTGAAGGTCTCTTCTTAAAAGACCCCATAAACTTATCAATAATAGTAAACATTTATTAAGCATTTATGTGTGGCTGTCTGCCTAGGCTGCAGAAGAGGCTAAACCTCTACACAGGTGTGGGAGGAGGAGGGGGAAGGGGCAGTGTAGGAAGTACAATCCAAGCAAGGGAAACATTATCGATAAGGAAAAAAGAGAATACTTTTTTACAGAATTCTATTTTCTAACAGGAATTTAGTATAAAATGTTGATATATTAGTTTTTATTAAGATATAACTCACACACTATAAAATTAAACCTTTTAAAGTATATAATTCAGTGGTTTAAAATATACTCACAAGGTTGTGCAGCCATCACCATTACCTAATACCAGAACATTTTCATCCCTCAGAAAAGAGACCCTATAGCTATTATTAGATACTCTCTATTTCTGCCCCTACCTCTCTCAACCATGGCAACCATTAGTTTACTTTCTGTCTCTGTGGATTTGCCTATTCTGGATATTTCATATAAGTGGAATTGTATCATATGTTGCCTTTTGTGTCTGACTTCTTTAGCGTGTTTTAAGATTCATGCATGTTATAGCATGGCTCAATAATATCCCATTCTGTGGACACACTACATTTTGTTTCTCCATCTAACAGCAGATGGACATTGAAGCTGTTTCCCCTTTTTCACTGTTATAAATGGTGCTGCTATGAACACTCATGTACAAGTCTTTGTGTGGATGTATATTTTCATGTCTCTTGGGCAGATACCTACCTAGGAGTCGTGATATGATAATAATAGTGCTGGTATTTACTAAGCACTTACTCTGTGCCAGGCATTGTGCTCTGTACTTTCTATACATTTTATCATTTAATCTTCACATCTAAGTAAAATCCTCAAGCTACAGACATGGACACTGGGCTTGGAGAAGTGAAATAACTAGCCCAAGGTCACAAAGCTAGCTTTATTTGGCTTGAACCAGGAGCTGAAACCACCCCCAGGTTTTCCTGATTCTCCACACTCACCAGGGTGGCCACAATACACCCCTGCTGAGAAATCCTTCAATGGCCTTTCACTGGTTACAGGACACAGTGCAAACTCTTTAGTAAGGAGGGTGTTTGTGGTCTTCCTAACTAGTGGGCAAGTCCTCAGAGGCTTAGCTGGAGCCTCATTCTTTTGTTCAATTCTGTTGGCTCTTACCAGGCACTTTCTATCTTTAGGGCTCTGTATGCAGGATGATGGGGGATTGGCAAAGCCAATGAATGGTTTTCTTCTTTATATTTTTGACCATTCTGTAGCAACTGATACCTTGGCCACTGTTTCCTCTGAGTTCTGTAAAACTGCTCTTCAGGTTTTCCTCCCACTCCTGCGACCATTTCTTCTCTGTCTCCTTTGCACGTTCCTCTTCCTGTCTTTAAGATTGGGTGCTACCCTAGAGTTCAAGACTAACACAGTCCAGGTGTCTAGGAGCTAATGGGGACAAGAGATGGGCACACAACTGTAACACAGGCTGAGTGTGATCAGGGTGCTCAAGCAGGGACAGACAGACAGACAACACTGTGAGGGGCTTAGGAAGGAAGACAGTGCTCAGGGGCTGTTCATGTGGCCCAGCCTTCCTGGCCCACCCCTGTTTTCTGTGGCACTCAGCACTGAGGGGCTTTGCAAGGGCTGGGGAGCCAGTGGCAGACAGGGTCCTCCCCTCCCTGCAAAGCTCCTGTAGCATAGCTGGGGCAGAAAGGGAGGCACAATTAAGCAGAGGAAAGGCCTCTCCTTTCTTAGGCAGCCTTGAGGGGAGCTCTGTCACTAGATAGGGCTGGAGTAGAAGGAAGGATTTGGGAGAGACCTCTGGAAGGGAAAGAAAAGAGCAGTGAAGACAGGAGAAATGGGTAGGAAGAGAGAAAGAAATGAGAGAGAGAGGGAGGGAGAGGGAGGAGAAGGTGAGAGAGGAAGACAGTGGAAGAAAGAACAGAGGGTGAGATTAGCCTCTTCAAACAAGTGCTGTCAGTGATCTGTATTTGCTTACAGAATGAAAAATGTGTGCCATAAACATTGGCCACTGAGTAATTTCTAGTAGGAGTCATGTCACTTCTCATAAAGGATGGGATGGGGACAGGTAGGACATCTCTGCACTTGGGCCAGCTAGCACAGGGGCTCCTTTTAAAGCAGTGTTGGGCCTGTCTCCAGCCCAGGAAGCTCTCAGGTCAGGCCCCACCCAACCACTCATGGGGGAAGGCTCCCCAAGGTTCCGGAGCCTCAGGGCAGCACATCTGCCCCCATTTTGGGAAAGCTGAGGCGGGGGCACCATGGATAATGTCCATCTAATATTAGTCCCCCAGCCCCACACCCTCACTCTGACTTGACTAATTGCTGTAATAATTGATAGAACCTGACTTCTACTACTGATCGATTTCACCTCCACGACCAACGGCCACAAACCATTACGCTCCAATAAATAACCACGTTGGGCCTCACCCGCCTGCCTTCTCCGGGGGCATCAGGATGGCCCGTGCCCTGGCCTGACCTCCCCTTGCCTCCCACCCAGGGCCCCTCCGGGCCGAGCAGCTGGTCTAGAGGGCCAGGCCTCTGGGAGCAAGTGAGAGGGCTGGACGGAAGGTGGGGAGTGCTAATCGCAGGCCATCCGTCACCTCCCACTGGCTGTCTGGGGCTGGGGCAAACACCTGGAGCACCCCAGGCAGTGTGGTGCAGGACCCCTCCCCTCCTCTCCCTGCTCCAGATTAGTCTGTCCCAGCTTATAATATTTGATAAATAGCAGACTGGCTTCCTGGCAGCACTGCTGCGGCTGCGCCTGCCCGCTACAGCTGTGGAAGGTCACTCATTGGGGAAATATGTTTCTGTCAGTGGTATTGAAAAAAGTTTAGTGGAGTGACAGGCCTCAATTTTTCAAATTTTATTAACTCCATCCTCTTAACCATTTGTCTTGAATTCCTTCAGATTCTGGGGGATCTGTCAATAGGGCTTGGGCCAGGAAAGTAGTGTGGGGGTGGGTGGTCATGGGGCTGGTGCTGGCTGTGCCACTGTGGCTGGTGTGGGTCTCTTCACCCAGGGCAGGGTAAGGCAGTGGAAATGGTGTTGGCGGGAGAGAAGGCCTAGCCCACTGGTGCTGAGGGAGCCCACTTCTCTCCTCTGGTTCAGCACCTGCCTTTGATTTGACACAATCATTGACTCTCCAAGTATTAATAGAAAAAGACCTTAATGGTGAGCTCTTCTAATTCCCTGAGAAGATACTTCTCTCTACTACATCTGAAACAGGTGGTCACCCTGGCTCCCCTGAATGTGCCCAGTACCCAGTGCCAAGCTCATGGTTCTTTCTCTGAGGTGTTTCCCCTATTTAACTGAGGGCAACCCTTCTTATGTGAGTCCCAGCCTCTCTCACCAAACCCATTTCCATCCTGGTCTTCCTGCAAACACCTGCTCATCTGTTAAGACTCAGTTCAGATTTCTCCTCTAGGAAGCCTTCCTGGTTCCCTCCCATGCCAGGTTGGGTACCATCCTTCGTGCTCCCATAGGCCCTTCTGCTTCCATCTTATTGCACTGATCACTCTGAATTAAAGTCTGTCTCCACCCAAGACAGTTCTCAGAAGTCAGGGACCAGGTCTCACACACTGCTACATCCTTGCTACCCAGCACAGGAGAGGTGCTCAATATTATTTGCCAGGTGAATGAACTGTATTCA